CCAGTTTTGGTTTTCCCTCGCTCTTTAAATCAGGCCTAAGTGTTGTCGAGAGACTTCCTTTAACAACGGCAGCAGAGACAGAGGCTAGAGCCTCAAACACCTGCTGAAAGATTGTTTTCCATCAGAATAACATTGTTCAAACTCACGGGACTCTTGGTAATTTCATTGTCTGAAATATTGTTCAGAAATGGCAGTTAAGGGGAACTGTGGAGGTCAAAGCAAAATAGAAAAGACCAAGAAAACTATGCAACCGAAGCTCAAAAGAGGCTGACTTCTATAACAGGACAATGATCCAAAACACTCCTCAAAATCCATCATGCTTTTGGGACGGCCCTCGCACCTGCTGACCCAGTGCTTTTCTCTGAAATGAAGGGTATTAATAGGGAGTTTGTTCCCCTTTTGCTGCAGTGACAGCCTCTGCTCCTCTGGGAAGGCTTTACACTAGATGTTGGAACATTGCTGTGAGGATTTGATTGCATTCAGTCACAAGAGCATTAGTGAGGTCAGGTACTGATGTTGACTGATCAGTTCTGGATCACAAACTCATCCCAAAGGTATTGGATGGTGCTCCATCAGTCCAAGGAACGCAGTTCCACTGCTCCACAGCCCAATGCTGGGGGGACTTCCACCCCTCTAGCCCAAGTTTAGCATTGGGCATGGTGATCTTAGGCTACGTTCACATTACAAGCCTCATTGCTTAAATCCAATTTTTTGCTCAAATCTGATCTCTTTGACATGATGGTTCACAGTCGTTTAGGTGAGTGATTCAAATCAGTCATTAATGTGAACAAACTGGTGACCTGAAATGACCGTCATGCACACATCCTACTCAGTAACGTCACGTGAATGAATCACGTGCATCATCAGCACAAACTAACGAGCAGAACGAGCTTCGCTGAGAAGATAATTAACTCTGATCAGCTCTCAGCTTCATTATTAGAGCGAGACGAAGGAGAAAAAGGTGAGATGAGCTGCTTTTCCACCGTTTACAGGCTTTAACTTCTGTTCGGCGCTGCTGCCATGGTAATGCTGAATGATGGCAGCAGCACAGTAAAAAAAAAAAAACACATGAATTCCGATCTGAGCTTCACATTAAGGTCATATGGCCACGAATCGGATACCTATCTGATCTAGGACCACATATGAAAGTGGCTCAGGTCGAATTTGAAAAGATCAGATTTGCGTGTCAACACAGCCATGAAAACATCAGATCTGAGTCACATTAGGGCAAAAAACGGATTTGTGCCACTTCAACTTGGTAATGTGAACGTAGCCTTAGGCTCATTTGCTGCTCCTCCAGCGCGTCCCATTCTATTGGTCAGTGCTTTTCTATTGAGATTATATGAACTGACCGCCTGTTTTAGTAATGTGTGCACCTTAAAGTAGCTGAATTCACTCATTAGTATGGATGTATCCATGTAAGCTTTATCAATCAGAGAAACAGCATTTCAGTTTAATAATTCCTACATTAAGCTCAGTAATTAATATATTTATTATTACAATAACTTCTGGATTGGCCTTCCTTTTGTCATCACTGACACAGGCTGCAGGCTGTTCGCTTCACAGCTAAAAATTACTGAAGAAGTGCTTTCAAGTAATGGTGCTAACTGCTTCAGAAATGCTGCTCTAACAGCTCCATATGTATCACACTGCTGCCCTATGTGTGTTTAAGCACTGGCCATTTTATGCACCATTACCTCTGTAAATAAGGCATCATACAGTGTCCAGGAAACCACATGGCTTTGGCCTCACAGGACTTGTGTGGGGTAACCAGAGGTCAGGAGTTCTCCAGAGAGACTAAAATTAGCACGAACACAGACACGCAGCTCTCACTGCCACAAAGGACGAACCACTGCGATGAACACGCACACACATACATCACTGACAGTCTCAAGGGGGCACTGTACCCCTAGATTATGCATGGACCCCCACAGCACCCTCCAATGTAGGTCAAACTGGCATTTACTGACAAGTTGACTATGTTTAAAACACAAATCTAACATGTTAAACATGTTAAAATGCATTTAATACGTTTTGGGACAATTTATGAAGCAGAATTGGAAATTACCTGGGGGGCACCAGACCACTAGGGGTGCTGCTCTGCTGTCAGTTTATTGATTTGTATTTTTAAGCTATAAATTAATAGCATAAGTACATTGCAAACCCCAAATTTGAAATTCACTCATTGAAATGAGTAAAGAAAACTTTACTTTTGTGTCCAACAGCTATACTAACGTACAGATGCATGCACAAGTTACATAAAACACAATATATGACATATTATGTTGGTTTTTTGAGGTGAAAATAAGTAAACAAATTCTGCAAATGTTAGCGCACAGCTACTATATATTTGGTTAAGTTAAAAAACAGAAAAAATGGTACATGAAGCATGTGCAAAGGTTTGGACAGCCTACTAAGTCAGTACTTACTCACATCCCCTTTGGCAGATATCATAGCTGGCAAAAGCTTTTTGTTGCCAGGTAAAAGTCTTTCTGTTCCTGTGTTAGGAATTTTCACCCACTCTTCCTTACAGAACGCTCCTAGCTCTGAAATATTCCTGAGCCGCCTTGCATGCACAGTATGTTTAAGATCTACTCACAGAATTTAAATGATGTTTGTCAGGTTACTGTGAGGGTCATTCCAAAAGTGTTTTCTGAAGTAGTTTGTGGCTTATTTTGAGGTCTGTTTTGGTTTATTGTCCTGTTGTAGTAGCCAGCCTCTTTTCAGCTTCAGTTTCTTGACTTACTGTGTGATATTTGCTTCCAGAGTTTGCTGATATGCTGTGGAATCCATTCTTACATCTACTTGTGCAATGGTTTCTGTGCCAAACAACTCTAAAGCATAACAGATGCACCCCCATGCTAGACAGTTAGCAAGGTGTTCTTTTCATCAAATGCTGCTCCTTTTTTTCTCAAACATACTTTCGATGAATTCGGCCAAAGAGATCTGTTTTTACTTCATCAGTCCACAACATGTGTTTCCAAAATGCAACTGGCTTACCTAGAGGTTGTTTTGTGTACGTCAAATGCTGACTTTTATGATGAGATCGCAGGTGAGGTTTCCTTCTGATGACTCTTTCTTGCAGATCAAGGTTTTGCTTTGCCTTTCTGGCCAGCATGCGGGCAGTTCTATCTGAAAGTTTTCTTGGTCTTCTTCCCACAGTTCCCTTAACTGCCATTTCTTAATGACCGTTCAGACAGTGGAAATTCAAGCTCTGCTTTAATATCCTTTTATAGCCTTCTCCTGCTTTGTAGGCATCAATTAGAAAAAAAGAAGCTCATCAATTAAGACATAAAGAATGAATGAAGTTCTGAGACTTTACATTTGGAAGGGTGTCCAAGCTTAAGCATACGCCACGATTACTATCCTTATCTGTAAGTTTATCAAATATAAGATGCACAAACACGGCTGCTTTAGAAAAGTGTGAATGACAATAAAAAACATCTTCGAAAAATTCTGATAATTCAACAGCATAGAATTAATAAGAGTTTCTTAATCAACCATTCATTTGTCTGTGAGAGAGACTAATTTTAGTTTGTAGTAATTCTTTTTTGCTTCATAGGTCAGATCAGGTCAGATCCCAGTTTTTATTTATTTATTTAATTATTCACATCTTTGCTTTAGTCATTGCTGTAGACAGTTCAGTCACCCCAAAAGCACAAACAGACATACGCAACCAAACATACACACACAACATTAATAAGACTCTGAAGGAAAGCAGAGAGACTCTGTTTTTCTGAGTTGTAGCATAGCTTTGTTTATTAATTTTTATACTTTTTTTTGCATAGAGAAACATACTCACTTCCAGTACTGTATTCATGAGCGATTTTTGCGAACAGCGATGGCGGAATACAATGTTATAATGAAATATTGTCAAAGCTGTAAATTTTCCCCTCACACCAGTTCCAAAACATATGGCGAATTTAGTTTGTTTTTTTTGTGCATTTTGTTAAAAAAAACTTCCATTTTAGAAACAATTCGCTGGAAACATGATTACCGACTTTTGCTGATACAATTTCCCCGTAACATTTCAAAATGAAACGTGGACAAACAAGAACAAAAAAAAATCTGAGCTGTCAGAAAGAAAAAAGTGGGTGTGTTATTATTATAACATGCCGGTTTTATGTTTATTGTATGGTGTGAACTAAATATCCACATGCTCTTCCCTGGTGTGAAGTCTGTGTCTGTGCAGCAAGCAAGCGGTTAATGCGTAACTACTATGGTAATAATTGCAAAGAATAATGAGAGGAAAAAAAAACAAAAACACAAAAACAAAAAAACCCTTGAAATTTAACACTGCATTAGAATGTTCTCTGAGAAACATTTCAACCATCTTACTTTCGCCATCGCGTCAACCTCCGAACAGAGAGGAAACAGCATGCTTTGAAAAAAAAAAATCCAAGAAAATTACAAAGAGAAATGAAATACAATTACAAACAAAAGACCAAGAACCAAAATGAGTTACTCTGAACAGGAGCGGGCACGATAAACCAGTTTAGATGTCACCCATTAATGTGTTTGGAGCACGTTTTTATCTCTGAATACACCCCATTTAGCAAAACAGACAGTGCTTCAGAGTGTTTTGGCATTTCATAGTTGATAGTATTATCAAAAAAGATTGCATAACTGCAAAGCATTTACATGGCTTTTCACCCCTTTGAACAGAAACCATGACTAGCAGGCACCCAAGATCCCCTCTGAGGAACCTCGTTAACACGCCTGACGCCAGACTTACGAAAGCCCCCAGCCCTTCAGGCAAAAACAACCCAAAAAGAAGGAAAAAACATTCTTAAAGACTGGTCGAGGTGTATGTATTGCACCAGTCGTGCTGTGGTATTTAGAGGCTTGAGTAAATCTGGCTCTCTGAATGGTGAGTAATGAACCAAAGCATGTGGAACAGAAGCATTCAGATATAGAAGAACCTCATGGTGAGAACCTAGGAGAAAAAGGAGAGAGTAAACCGAAGCGGTAAAACGTTCAGGCACTGCTCGTTGAAGATGTTTCTGTGTTTTGTTTTGTTTTGGTATCTACTACTATTCACGAGTAAATACTTCTGCTTTCACCTGCTGGTTTCTTGAGAAAACCGAACAAAATGAATAAAAGAGTGAAAACAATCTCAGATTGGTCATGAAAAATGATCACCAAAGGAACCACTTTCATACAACCAGCTTTTACCATCATCGGTCCAGGATTTGCATAAGAAAACGCTGACTCGGGTGCATGGAAATATGAACAGATCGAAAGAAAGAGCCACAGCTGAAGGCAGGCAAAGCCAAAATGACCTCACCATAATGCAATAAAGCATGTGAGACTCAGCTGTTGCCCTCCTTTAACGCCAACACAGCTTTAGCTCAAACACAGCTGGGATAAAACCTCTTTGCAGATTTACAGACCTAGCTAGCAGGATAGCATGAAACCTATCAGGTTTTTCAAACTCAGTAAGAAATTTCATCCAATGCCATGCAAAGTTTTGTGAAAAATGTCAGTCGGTGCTCTAAAAGATATGCGCTTAGCAAAGTGGCACTGATTAGCTAACGGGCTAGCAACGTAGCCTGTTTAAAATATAAAATGCACACAGGACCGGTCCTAGCAAGACGTGACCGACTATGTCAAAACTTAAGCTTAAATCCCAAGAAAAGTCTAGTGTGATGCATCCAAGATGATCCACAAGCTAAACCACTGCTACTGCAATGAATGCTACAACAGTTAGCATAAATGTTAGCTAAATTTTACTTCTCTTAGGAAAAATGTAATTGCTAAAGTATGATAGGTATCTTTTTCTCCATAAACCAATGTGTAAGAACATGCTGGCTCAGTTTAAACCCTCTACTGCACGCATTATGGGACTTTTTAAAAAAGTTCAGTTCACTTTTCCTGCAGAAAATTGTTCTTGATTTATTTTTTCGGACCCGATTATAAAAGTCAAAATAAAAAAAAAGTGTGCAGGAGTCGTGTTACCTGAAGTGGTGAGACCTGCTGTGTGACTGGCTAAATCCATTCCACTGTCGCACCATGTTGCTTCTAGGCAACAAACATATTTCCGCAAATTCTAATAACAAAAAAATTGATACTGAATGTTAAAAAGAGGTCTAAATGCGCCCACTAGGAGACAGTATGATCAAGTACATGCTTCTCCCTTCATTGTCACCCTATTGTTACCTTTAAATATGTATAATGTTACTGTAAAGTGAGAAAAATGAGTTTGTTGCCTTGAGGCGACATCGTACAATAGAGGGTTAAATTGAAAACCATGACAAAAGTAGGAGGCTATAAATCCTTTTCATAAGCAGCCTGGGTTCTTCTCATTTTATTTAGATTAAAGGAATGACAAAACACTCTAAGGCCTATACTATCAGCCCTTTGGGCTTTTTGAGCTGTTTGAGTGCAGATGACGCTCCCTGCTGTAGCTGCAGACAGTTTCACTTTGTGTCTAGGTCTGTTAAGTGCGCTCAGGAGGCTGGTGGTCAAATCCAAATTGAATGTTAAAAAAAGAGCAAAGCTGCCTTACTCTAATCTCAGCGAGCGAGGATTGAGCTGATTTCCTCTAAAAGGTCTTCTTGAGCGGAGATTATCCCAGGTGTTTTGCCAATGCATGTTGACTTTTCCATGCACCGAGTCCCAAGCTTCCAACGGATAATTCCAGTATTAGCTGTGCTGTCTTAAATGAGCTGTTTGAACCATGGACACGTATTAAAAAAAAGAATAAAAGAATGTAAAAAGGTAAAAAGTAGAGACCAAATTCCAGAGACTCTGCCCTGAATAAATTGTCCAGCCCTTACATACGAGGAAAGGAAACATAGTACGAAGAACTTGCAGAGGTTTGCTGTTTCACTTACATCATAGTACCATCACGTTTAATATCCAGACCATGGAAGGGTAGAATAAAAAAGAATAAAACACGAGACTAAACCCTAACGAGACTCGCTAACTCGAGTCTTGTATCCTCACTACATTATCTTCAACCAGTGGCTGAACTGCAGGCCAAGAAAAAAGCAAATCTGGAAACACTTTTGTAACGGGTAAAACAAAATGTGGAATACAAGCGACATTTCATGCCTATTACCCTCAGTTTAGCTACACACGACTAACTTTAAAAGTGCCAATATTCGCCATATGCCTCTTCCCCTACTCGCTGCGATGCTATAGTGCATAATTATGCATACTATATTAATATAATACAGTACTAACCATATTCTTCTTCAAACACTGAGACGTTAACCATCGGGGAACACAGCATATCGAATCACACACGGGGTCAAACGATCTGCCATTGCACATCCAGACTACCAGAGCAGTGCATCCTAGAGCTGAACTCTGACATTCAATACTGGGCTAAGACTGGAAAAGGCACTCTGATCAGAGTGGGGCTTGAATTCCTGCTGATCACACGTTTGTCTGTCTGTTTTAGGGCCTGACCGATATGATCGTTGAGTGACCGATACCAATGCCTACTTTAAGGGACTAAAAATTCTGATAGCTGATAATATTAGCCAGCTGAGGTGGGCAATATGACAATATTTAATCATTAAAAAATCCATCACAAAGGTTACTTGCGTTACTCATACATTTTCCTCATAGAACTTGCATGTAACTCACTCATATTTAGCAGACTGAAACATCTCCACAAGGGGGTGCCAATTAGCAATTAGCTTTCAAAGCCTCATAAGAGCGATACTTCAGATTAATGAAGCTACTGACAGTAATGTGGCACTTTTTACTGGGGCTTTTTTCTCTCTTCCAACAGAAAAAAACAAAATATTGTGATGCATATCATGAAAATATCTTAAAATATAGCAGTTCAGATCCAGTTATATAGCCATGTCTGGCTCACAAGTGCCACGACCTTTGTTGGGAGATTGCACCCAAACAAGTTGCTAATTAATGGTGCATTTTCACTGATATTGATAAAACCACTCATAGTAAATATCGGTCAACTGATACATCGGTCAGGCTCTAGTCCATTCCACGAGTAAAATGAGGCTTCGCATTGCCTGCCATATCACTTATTGAGTCTCAAACTCTGCAATCCAATACAAACGACCTCTGGAGGGGGTGGGGGGAAACTATGGTTAATTGACTGTTGATGGACAGCATAAAAAAGCAGCTATTTAATCCCTCTTTCTCTGTCTTTTGAGTCACTTTCTAACACGACACATCATTAAGGTTGACCAACAGAAATATTTCTAGAGAAACACAATTTTTTAAAAAAAAAGAAGAAAAATTCTTAGACAAAAAATATCAATACCAGGTTATCTAGTGCAATCTTTTGAAACAGAAGGAAAGAAAACAAAGTGTTTTAAGATCTCCAAGCTTGTGTGACAATAGTGAATCATAAAAGAAGTGCAGAAATTTTTAAATGAATCTCGGAGAGAAAAAAAAACGATGGGGGACCAAAAAAAGGCGATGGAATTTGCATATCCCCCTCAAAGCTAACTGAGGCTTGGTTTAAAATGACAACAAGTGAGGCTGAAATTACAGAAGTCCACATTTCCAGGCCAAGAACCTGAAGCCAGGTACCCTCTCAGGAAAGGCTAATGTTTGCGGTGCAGAGCGTGCACCAACAACAGCAGATCCTTTAGAAGGAACACAAGTATTTTTTGTGGCTTTGCCACAAGCTTATGACAACTAAACCCAAACACACAAACATAAACATATTTTCTTATACAAAAAGACATTTTTATGTACATTTTGCCTTTTTTTCTCCTCATTCTACTAGATATACGGTAAGCATTTATACACAAGATAATGTGTTCAAAATGTAACATTTCAACAATATGCATAACAATCATAATTACTGTTCTATAAAAATATTAGTCAAGGGTTTTGAAATAAAATATTACGTTTTTTTTTCTTTTTTTTGTTTTTTTCTTTTTCTTTTTAAACATGCACCAGCTCAAATGCATAATCAAAATGTTCAAAAATGTTATAGTAAGTTCAACCATCACCTGTGGCCACTTTAAAAACTACATACTGGGGTGACGACAAATCTGATCTTATGAAGCGTTTCTGTCTGGCACGAAAAGCAAATGATAAAGAAGAAGAAGAAGAAGAAGAAGAAGAAGAAGCAGACGGCGTGCTTGCAGACCTTTCTACAGGATCTCTCTGCTGGCGTCGGGGCTACTAACCCCACCGATGGCCGGCCTTGCCCTGGCAGGAGGGCTGACAGCTTCAGATAGGTGAGTGTGGAGCAGTGCAAATCTTCACAGGACAGGTGGTGGGCTGGACACATCTGCCTGGGACAACTTTCAGGGACTGTGGTTTTAAAAATCATGTGGTCAAGTGTGGCTTCAGCAACAGGCTGTTAATATCTGGACTAGCTGTGCTTCACATGTCTCAAAGGAAGGTTGTGTTAGCTTTCACTCTTTCAGCTTGGCAGCATTGTGTGGTAGAGGGAGATCTAGCAAGTCGTAAAAAAATCTAGAAGAAAACTGGGTAAAACTGGGTGAAAATCCAACAAAATATATATCATCGCTGTCTGAACAAAACTTTTTATCTCTAAAGTGGTTACTTTACCGAAGGAAAAAATATCACTAACTTGTAATTGAAGTGAATGTAAAAACTACTTTTTCCAAGTAATTTTGGACCATTTCTCGAGGTCTGCTTAAGTGCTGCAAAGGTTGACTGAAGTTTTGGGAAATTCAAAAAAGTAAAAGAAATCAATAAATAAAAAAATTGGGAGGTTTTTGCACAAAGGTGAGAATTACTTGCATAAATTACTGTGTTAGTATATCAAAGTATTGCACAGCACTGCCATTCAGTCCTTTATCACAGTGAATAAACCCCTTAAATGGCCAGGAGCAGCTGGCAGGTCCTCCTAGTTTGCATTGTTTTTAATGTAGTTACTCAGCAATAAGCCATGGAATTTAAAAAGCCTGGACATTTAAGAGGTTTAAACAATGCTACAACCTTAGCTGTGCTTCAGAACACCGTTTAAAGGATAACATGCTGTGTTTTGCATTTTCCACACTGGACCACGCTCCCTCTTTCCTCAGGACCAGACCCCTGTCCCATCACCTGTTCTGTTAAATAAAAAGAAAATTGCTTGCTGAATGACAGCACTTTTGTTAGAGGTGTGAGTCGTATGGGTTTGATGGAATGCCTTTAGTTACAGCACTCCTCTCCTGCCAGGGGCTCAGAAACCATCAAACGCCAGGATCTTAACCACGGCATCATGTAAACAAAACCTCTTGTTCTGCCGATTCCACTTATTTCTTTTTTTTTAACTAGCTACCAGCAAATCTTAATAGCTACCAGCATTGCAATATGCATTGCAGAAACAGTACTATACACTGCATCACAAACTAACATGGCCTTTACTGACCCTGCTGGAAAAAAACAAAACTACAATCTCTTCTCTTTTTCAACACACTCCTCTTACACTATGCAGTAAGAAATTATAAATTACCTATCCTACGCTCGAATTTAAAAAATAAGAAAAGAAAGAAAGGAGAAAAGAAAGAAAGAAATAAAGGAAGTCTACCAAAGCATCTTGGAGTATCTAAATGAAACATTTTCTAAAAATGTCAAGTCGGTGATAACTGGTGGTGGTGGGGTGGGGGTTGAGTTTTGTGTTTATGCTGGTTTGGACAGCTCCAGAACATTTTTTTCCAGATCAGTTTCTGGGGAACAACCGTCAGAAAAGCTGATTGTTTGAGGGTTAAATGAAGACTATAAGCCCAAACGATCCATTACTAATCAAATAAGACATGTACAATCTACATCATCACTACACATTCCATTGTAGCCATCATGGCTCTAATGTTCAGCACCGAACAACTAGATCCAGTATCGAGGTGATTCAAAATGAATTTTATAAACATAACTGATTATTGACTATCCTCTTTCATAACTGGGGGTTCAATCATAAAATTCCTCCAGAACCCAAGCCTTCAAAATGTACCATGCCTACAGAAATGCTAACTTCGCAACAATGAATGAAAGCAAAATGGGCCTGTCAGGCTAAAGGAGTGTGGATGATGAAATACTTGCATTCTAATCTGTTCTTATCTCAAGCTAAATCACTCTTTAGTTTGACCGAATCACCCTATTTCACTCCGGATATGCGAATTTGGAACACTGGCAGATATGCTAATGGAACATGCTAACTACTTTCTCACTAGCTTTCATTTCCTGGATGCCTATGTTAGCATTTTTGCTCATTTTAACAGTAATCTGAGAATGAAAATCTGGCCTTTCCCTCAATCCCCTCTAATCATCAGCCAGTATTTCAGATTCAGATTTACAATGCTGTGTCCCCAAAGCATCATACCTGTCTACTCCAAAGGAGCACTATTTGGGAAAACTGCCCAAAATGCTATCTTACTTTTTTCTTACTATTATTTCTGGTAAAGTCAGAACTGAAGTGTACACTGAAACAACGGTGCTTTGAATTTACATGATTTTGTCTTTCTTTTGGTAAGAACGGCGCTGACACTGAAAGCTAACGTCATGCTACTGGAAAATGCTAACTGCTCACTCGCTAAGTTGCATATATCAATGATTAAGTTTTAGTAAGACCTGCATGTTCTAGTCAGTGTTAATCAGAAATAATAATGCATTTTTCTTCCATACAGTGATGTACCTCTGAACTGTATCAGGAAGGGTCTCTGAGCTGAGGGTCTGATGTGATCTCGTAACAAAAATATCTAGAGAAAAGCCATCAGAAAGTTTGGGTGGGAACAAACTGAGGGTGAGATTTCTGGAAGTAGAGGGTGCTGGTGAACTCGTCAACACTGTCAGGAAGACATCTAGGCCTGCCGTTAGCTCATGGATATAATGTACGTTAGCATGACTGAAAAGTTCCCCAAAAGCCCCAAATAAGCTTGTAGGTGTGTGTCGCGTGTGTGGAGAACACAATAGATGTAAAAATAAACAAAGAGAAAACAGTTCAGTTTCAAGCATCTTTTGCTTGTTGTTGATCGTACTCTGTACGTTAAAAGAGCACTGACTAGGGAAATTTGGGCGTTTTGGAGGGGGTGTACACTTGTTAGCGTCAGACTTCACTGCAATCCAGCACTAGAAGTTTGAAGTTGTCTTCAGACGAGTATTTGTGTTACAAGATCACATCTGAGCCTGGAAGACTAGCTGTACGTTTTCTCTCGAAGATAGGTGGGGGTGGTGGGAGGGGGAGGTGCAACATGGCAATATTAATTAATATTATTTTCCCCGCCCACTCGTGCATGGTGACATCATCAAGAAAACATAAGACATTTTAGAGGTGTGGCTAAAGTAATTACATGATCACGAAAAACAAATATTTTGTTTTGTATATTAATTGATATACAACGAATTGTGCTTAGTATGATCGGTAACATGAAGTAAGAAGGTAAAAAAGGTCAGTTTTGTTACATCTAGCTTGACTTTAACCTAAGAATTCCTCAAACGGGGATTTTATTCCATTTTATTCATGTTCAACTGTTTGACACACTAGAATCATGCATATTCAAAGCACTTTCTCTTCAGTGTGGGGTGGAAATGTGGAAAGGTTTGGACGCCCCGAAGTTACAACCCAGCACATTCTTCCATTTGAGCCTCTCCGTCTGGCCCGAGACGCACTTCCTTCTGCTCCGAGAGCAGGTCCTGACACCGTCAACAGTAATCTTCCCAATTCCTCCTGCTTACGAGCCTTGATCTCCACCATCAGGGTGAGGCTGAACTTCATGAGTATGAAAGGGTGCTATTCACTCACATTTTCGCTTTCTTTTTTTCTGTCCATTCTTTCTCACGTCTGTCACGAGTCCTTGAAACATTTCACTCTAAGCTACATTCAGTCTAAATCGTTTAAAAAGAAAAAATTAACAACGTGGGAGAATAACTGAAGGTCTAAAGGGAAAAGAGAGAGCAGGTACCTGTAGCGCTGATCTACAGGAGCGAAAGGGCCGACAATGAGAAACGATATAAAAGAGTGAAATGAGAAAAAAAGCCAAAAAAAAAAAATACAACAAGAAGAAAGATTTCATGCAATGGAAAGACGACTATCATACTTATCAAAGGGGGAAAAATAAGCCAGTCTCACCCGTCTCAGTCTACTGTTATCTATTAGTCCTAATCGGATAATGACAAGCAATCAAACATGCAGCATTTTTTTTTTCATTTTTTACACCTTTTTTGTTTCGTTTTCAGCGACACTTGGTTACATAAAAAAGAAATGAATTTACAATTTTTTATGTATTATTGTTCTTAACTAAAGGCAAGGCACATAATGTGTTATATAAAACGTCGTGCAAAGTCGAAGGAGGGGGGTGGGGGGCCGGTCGGAGGGGGGTCAAATTCGAAACCAATGTCGTACAAAGGTAAAGGTAAAAACCCATCCGTGTCCTACGCTCTCTATCCTGCTTGGGGGGGGGTAGTTGGTGAGGATTGGGGGTTCTTAAGGAGAAGTAGTTTGGTGGGAAGAGTTTAGCTTCAGAGCTTGTACTAAGAGTATCTGCCATGCGCCCATGTCAGCGAAACGGTGGTCATTTGAGCTTAATTCTTGTTTTCTTTTTTTTTCTTTAGAAAGCACCATGCAGTTATATATATATAATCAGTATATATAGATCTCAATATAGTTTTTCATGTCAGCACCTTGAACACAAGTCATGTTATGTCTGTATTCCGGGTCACAGACTGAACAGAACTGGTATGCAAAGCTCTATTAAAGGTTAGCGGAGAAAAGAGGAAACGGTGGACTGTTGTAGCCTTCCTTCCGTCGTAGGCCTGTTGCTGTAGGCCTTATCTAGCTTTGATATGTGTTGGCTTAGTTATTTGCAGCTGATGCCAGAGGGGGGCAAATATGTTCCATGCGCCCTCTTGGGTGTTTATGTACAGAACCGAGACCGTAATTGATTTCATTTCCAGTCAAAAGAGCCATTTAAATACAAGTTATTCATTTTTCAGTGTCATGAAAATGCACAGAAGACTCAATAACCATATATAATAACACTAGTGCGTCCACTCTTTACCTTTATTACAGCTTCTTGACAGCCACACATCCTTTCAGACCCATAGCGCTGAGTCGTCTTCTCACAGTGGAAGGATGGACAGAAACACCTGTGGATGTTTTCAGATCTAAAGCAGCTTGATTTTCTCCTCTCTCTCAAAGATGAAAGCTTTAAGTGCTGTTTATCTTATGGGGCAGTTTTGGTGTCTACCAGGTCTTCCAGGTGGTTGTTAGGAGACCTGTTTTCTCTGTATCTAAGAAATTTCTGAACTCCAGTTTTGGAAACTTCTGTTTTTTTCCCTTCCCTGTGCAAACAGATTATCCTCTATTTAATCTCCTCAGAAATATTCCCTAAAAAATGAACAGCTTGTACTTAATGGCCGTTTTGACTAGAACGAAGGGGGATCTCTGACTTTTGCACAGTACTGCAGGTGCAGCTGCTTTGGGCTTTGCTATACCACTCTGTTCACACCAGTGCTACCTGTCCGACTCCACGATAACCCGCTATGATGAGGGTGACAGTGGGTCCAGTTCAAAACAGGATCAAATAATAATAATAATAATAATAATAATAATAATAACATAATAAAAAGGCTTAAAAAACCCAACCCAAAAAATCAAATGAACCTCTTGCAATGTCTTAGGCACTTTTCATGGCTTTTGTGATTATTTTGGGTTTGGTAGCAGAGTCTTAAGCCCTGATGTTTCTATTAACACAATTTCAGTCAACACATCTCAGAGTGCAGCGAACGAGCCCGTTTCTTCAGAAAAATAAAAAACGCTAACCAGCAAAGAGGGACCTGGAGCCACACACACACACACACCGCTGGTCATGGGCGTCCCACATGCAAAGAATTCTGGGAAACAAGACGGCTGTGAACTTTCGAAAGGTACTCAAACCGTTCACATTCTCCTCAGTCTATGATTCGGCTTAAAAAAAAACAATCAGAACTTCCAGCTAGATATCTTTAACCTCTCCTTAAGAGACTGTTGGTTTACTTTTTAAGTAAAGCAGTCTGTAGAGAGCGCGCTCAAAGTGGGAATCCAGACATTCCATAAAAGGGAAGTCAGTGATTTTTCAAAATCTCTACATAAGTAAATAGTTTAGATGTAAACAGAGTCATTCAGAGTGGTTTGGTGTGAAACGCTCCGTTCTGGAGAAACTTACAGTCAGAACTCTTCACAATGGTGGTGATAGGAACCAGACGTCCACCTCTAAAAGCTCCCTCACAGAAAGGCGTTACTGCCTGACAGTTCTGAGAAGTTTGGATCTAAAATCTATTTTTTTAAAATACATTCATGGGGGGTGGGGGTTGACATGCTACAAAATATAAGTCACAAAAAACTCTGGCTTGCAGCATTTCATATGATTAGGCCAAAAAAATAAAAAGCAAAATAGAAAAAAAAAGGTACAAAATCTAAGTAGTGCAATATATTTTTTCCAGATTTATCACTATTACACTGTCAGCAACGTTACATGTAAAAACTCACAAAACACAATGTAGGTTCAATGGTCATTGCGTATAGCAAATAATTTGCCTATTTTTGTGTTGTAGACACTGTGACCCCTGGTTCCTATGACCACCACTGTAAAGAAGTGTACATTTCTCTACAGTGACCAATTTCACTTCAGTCCACCTAAATGGCTTTGTTTCCATCTCAAGCAAAAATTTTCAAAATCAGTGGAGTTCCCCTTTTAAAAATGGAAGCATTCTCTACGTCGGGATACACGACTCAAGCATGAGCAGTCGTGAACTTCTCCGAAGCCAACACTCATGTACCCTGCTACCAGAACACGAGAGAAAGAAATTTCTACAAAATAGAAGTCCTAAAAAAACTGGCTTGCAGCATTTCATTCATGATTAGGCCAAAAAAAAGCAAAAGAGGAAAAATTAAAAAATTTAAAGTAGTGCAATGCCTGTAATTTCCAATGCAGTTTAAACAAATGACACAAAAAAGAAAAAAAGAGTCTATTCTCTACACCCAATACTGTCTTAGTAGTGACAGAACTATAATCCTACTCCCTTTGTCACTATGTAGGATACTCTTATCTACATGAATCAAAAAAAAAAAACACATACTTGTGAGTAAGTACGTTCACTGGGATGGATAAGAGGGCTTTAAATGTGTATGACATGCACACTCACGCACATACAGTAGACTACAGGAGCCAAGGGGCTTTTCAGTGTCACAGAGAAGGTGCTATAAGACCCCCGCTGCTCCTACAGGCTCTCAATCATCTGACCAACACTTAGTGTATCCATTTATCCATTAACAGTACATGCCAATGCTGAAGAAGCCTGTTCGGATGGGCTTGTACACGAATGTGAATGAGTGTGCGTGAAGGCGCACATACGCACGCTGACTGCGACCCATAATGCCACAGACGTACCACGTATTTTAATCAAAGGTAGAAAAAATAAGGAAAAAACGATGGTTTCCACCAAAACGTGGACTCTGAATTAGAATGGCAGATGTGATTTTAAAAATAAAACATGATTGTCGATAAAATCGAACCTACTTTTGTCGAAACGGTAGGTGAAGGGAACTCGAGGGAAGTCACTGACCCTTCATATTGCCCCGAAACCTCTGCCCACATTCAAAACAACCAAAAGAAATAAAAGAAAACAGGGACATCATCACCGTGGCGGGACAGTTCACGCGTTTCTCGTCCCTGTTGCTCAAGAAAATAAAGGATACTTATTTTGCATATATGAGGAAGCAGCACCTGTAGCAGGGGAGGGGTTGGTGGGAGGGCAGGGGATGGAGGGCCGTTCCAGGAGGAAAGCAAAGGCGGGCTTTTTCAAATTTTTCTGCAGGTTTTTTTGTTTTTCCATTCTCTGCCCTGTAGTTCAGTTGTGGCTGCCCCCAAAACAACATTCTCTTCTCTCTCCTCTTCTTATGCATCCATAGTCTTTCTCCTTTTCTCTCTCTCTCTCTCTCGCTCTTGCTCTCTCCGGACATTCCTTCTCCGATGTCTCTCTCCAAAAAGTGTACTGAAGCGTTTTTATATATCTTTATGCATATAGAAATATATGTGTGCACATATGTCCATATGTACACACATATACTGTATATGTATATATACAAATACTGCATATATATCTGTTTTCCCTCTTGCATCTTGTTCACAATCTTTTGTTGTTTCCGTAATTCCACAAAAAAAAAGATAAATCTCAGATCCGTGTCCGCGCCCCCTCGGGTGAATCTGCTGCGTCTAGATCAGTTCCCCAGATACCAGGACTGCAGGGAGAGAGAGAGAGAGAAAATTAGAACAAATTAGTTTTTACTTAACAAATGTTATAACACTGTTGTAACAGTCAGAATAGATTAACCTGCTTTACACTGTAAAACTTTCACACAACTGTTGCAGTTGTCTTAGCTGTTTTATGTAACATCCAATCATAATGCTGATAATGTACCATGTCATCACATCACATATCATTTTTCAGTACACGACACATCATGGACAACAAAGTAACACTGAGGATGGAGGAGGAAAATGAAGGGCACATGTGGAGGAGCAGGATAGAGGTTATGTGGAGAGGAAGAAGATGAAGGGTATGTGTGGAAGATAAGGATGAAGATAATGTATGGAGGAGGAAGAAGGAGGGTGCGTGTGGAGGAAGAGGATGGAGACTATGTTTGAAGGAGGAGGATGGAGGGTACATGTGGAGGAGGAGGATTTTGCAGGTTATGTGGGGAGGAAGATGATGAAAGTTGTGTGTGGAGAAGGACGATGGGAAGTACGTGTGGAGGTGGATGGAAGGCAGATGAAGGAGGAAAAAGATGAAGGGTATGTGTGGAGGAAATGGAAGGCACATGCGGAAGAGGAGGATGCAGGGTACGTATAGAGGAGGAGGAGGATGGAGGGTATGTGTGGAGGAGGGGGGATGGAGGGTATGTGTGGAGAAGGAGGAGGAGGATGGAGGGTACGTGTGGAGGAGGAAGAGGGAGGGTATGCGTGAAGGAGGAGGTGGGAGGGTAGGTGTGGATGAGGAGGTGGGAGGGTAGGTGTGGAGGAGGAGGATGGAGGGCATGTGTGGAGGAGAAGGATGAAAGGTATGTGTGGAGAAGAAGGATGGAGGGTATGTGGGGAGTAGGAGGTGGGAGGGTATGTGTGGAGGAGCAGGATGAAGGGTATGTGTAGAGGAGGAGGAGGATGGAGGGTATGTGTGGAGGAGGGGGGTGGAGGGTATGTGTGGAGAAGGAGGAGGAGGATGGAGGGTAGGTGTGGAGGAGGAAGAGGGAGGGTATGTGTGAAGGAGGAGGTGGGAGGGTAGGTGTGGAGGAGGAGGATGGAGGGTATGTGTGAAGGAGGAGGTGGGAGGGTAGGTGTGGAGGAGGAGAAGGATGGAAGGTATGTGTGGAGAAGAAGGATGGAGGGTATGTGGGGAGTAGGAGGTGGGAGGGTATGTGTGGAGGAGCAGGATGAAGGGTATGTGTAGAGGAGGAGGATGGAAGGTATGTGTGGAGAAGGAAAATGGAGGTTATATGTGGAGGAGGAGGAGGATGGAGGTAATGTGTGGAGGAGGAGAATGGAGGGTACATGTGGAGCAAGAGAACAGAGGGTATGTAAAGAGGATGAGGGTGAAGGTTATGTGTGAAGGACGATGGAGGGTACATGTGGAGGAGAAAGAGGATGGTGGGTATGTTTGGAGGAGGAGGATGGAGAGTACGTGTGGAGGAGAAAGAGGATGAAGGAGAAAGAGGATGGAGGTAATGTGTGGAGGAGAAAGAGGATGGAGGGTATGTGTGGAGGAGGAGGAGGATGGAGAGTACGTGTGGAGGAGCAGGATGGAGGGCGCGCACTCTATGATGGGTGTAATAGCTCTAAATAATGCAGAACCGCAGTGATCCTGCAGCCAGAACAGAGCGTAATGACTAACGCTTTCCAAACACGCAGCAATCAGTGTCTTCTGCCCCAGTGGACTCCAGGCTCTGCAGATAGCAGTCAGGCCTTGGAGAGGAACGCGGCTATTAAACATAATACGGCCTAAAGAGTGGAGAGCGCCAGCGCGAGCGAGCCCAGCAGGCACCAAACCAAAGCTTTTAAAAGAGCATAATAGGATTTTGGCATTTGTTCGCACACCACTGAAGACTTTTTAAATTTGACAAGCTTTAAAAAACAGCAGAGCAGCAGCAGTTCATAGCCTAAACCTACCAGTTCAACATTTTCCACTGAGGTCTAAGTAACTTAACAGCACTCCAACAGACGTCTTTAACTACACCCAATTGCACTGATTTAATAAAACTAAAAAAAACAGTCACTTGGGTGCCTCAGAGGATACAAGCATCTGGCTGATCACTCCAGAGGGAGAGAAAGAGAAAGAGAGAGAGAGAGAGAGAGAGAGAGAGAGAGAGAGAGAGAAAGAGAGAGAGAGGGAGAGAAACAGATAACTATTCCAAAATAATACTTAGGCAAAGTAAGACAAAGTACAATCACTTAAGTATTTTCCACCCCTGTTGGCAACTGAAATATCTATGAATCTATGACTGTAATTTTTGTGAGTGAAATAGCTCCATTGTAAAGTATTGGAGGTTGCTGGTTTAGTCTGTGTCCAGCAGAGGGCGCATCTGCACCAATTAGCCTCTGGCCTTTCTTAAAAGTCTTGCTGTAGTCAAGACAGGAGGACAGATGTACTCTATGCTACTGAATATACAGCAGCAGGGGTGTGAGACTGTGGGTACTGATGGACCTGACTAACCAGGGCCCACCCAGAATAGGGGACCCTCCAAAAGCCTTAGAAATAAACTGATTTTCGTTTCTAGTTTTGATGCTCTGTGTCAGGCATGTCAAACTGTGGACCTTCCAGGCCAAAACGCTGTGGAGATCAGTGTGTACCCTCATCTAACGCTCTGAATTCAGCTCATGAAGGCCTTGCTAATTAGCTGATGAGCTGAATCAGGTATGTTTAATGAGGCAGTGTGCTGAAGTCTGCAGTGTTTTGGCCCGCGAAGACTGGAGCCTGACATGTGATCTATGTTATTATAAAAATAAATAATACAAGGCTGCATTTTCCATGATCATCTTTTATGTTCTGCTTATCTACCTGGTGTTTCCATCCTCCCTCCATCTCAAAAATAAAAGTGGTTTAGTCCTCTGGTGTGCACATCTGTCACGTTACTTCTGCTTTGTTGGCTACAGATGGCAGTTAGCAGCTGTTCACCTGTTATGAACTGGTTAAAATGAAACCAAAATCAGTATTTCACAAATAAAAGGAGCGAAGAGAGACTTAGCACAGGATTAGACTCAATGCAGCAAGAAAGCATTTTTTTTAAATAGCTAAAGTAACAGTGTTTCTGCAATCACAACCCAGTGAAGTTCAGCCTCAGCTCTGCAGCTAACCTGTAAAACACACACTGTTAGTTCCAGAAGCAGCCACAGTCAGTGAGGCAGACAGAGCAGCACCTCTGCCTTTTCTGATGCAGCTGAAGACATGAGACAAGGTGAGCTCTTCAAAGTAGGCATCTAATAGGTAACCTCCAAGAAGCCATTTGTTGAGCAGTTTTAGCGAAAATTACAGTATATATTTAAATATTTATTTTTTATATTTGTTTTTAAACAGAGACTAAATTTAAGTCTAATTATTACTGAACTACAGCACAAATATCTCACTGATTTTTACAGTTTAACCCTTAAATGCATACTGTGACATGCAGCCGTCCCCTCGGCCCCGATGGTGGCCTCAAGAGCCGGCAGGAAGGTGGGGCCAAACTCCGAGCCCCCTGAGGAAACCCTGCGACGACAGCGGGTAGAGTATGGAATCTGCAAGGGAGTTGGGGAAAGCGTGCAAGGCCCTCCTGGGCACCGGCTCCGGTCCCGCCGGGGTTCGGGTCCCGCCTTCCTGTTGGCTTTTGTGCTTGTCATTGGGGCCTGGGGGACTCATTGATGGCCTTTTCTGGTGGGTTTTGTGTACAAGTTCCATGCATAAGATCTTTTTATTTGCTCAGTGGTGCATCTTCAACCATAGAAAAATGTTTTAGCATTAAAGGGCCACATATTACAAAAACATTTATTTCACTGTTTTTTATTTTTTAGTAATGTCTTGTATTAAAAAACTAAATTTGATATATTATGTAACATTATAAAACTTTCAGAAAGTACTATTCAAAATATATGGAGACCAAAAACAGTCCATCTGAATTGTTTTCAAAAAATCAATGGAGGATTCTGAGCTGCTAATTCTGTACTTGCACTTTTAGTAAAGATGCTTTAATTTGAGCCATTTCTTCGTTTGACTAACACTATTTTCACTGGAGTGTGAGTTTAGACTGTTCTATCCATCTTATTACATGAAAGCACACATCAGCGTGTGTATAAAGGATTCCTCTGTTAGAAAGTGAATGGTGACAACAGAAACGGTAGCCTAAACAGTTCAGTTTGAGATGGATCACAGTTTTTCCATATTCATTAACTGCAAAGTCGACTGAACTGGATATCACAGAAACTGTTTCCAACTCATCAGCACAAGGATTTCCCATCTCTCTACCACAAGGGAAGCAGTCTGACCCCAACTGTCGCATTTATGAATTCGTGAGGCTTAAAGGGGAATTCCACCAATTTTTCAAAATGTCCGCATAATTCAGTGGTTGAGATGTAAACGAACTCATTCAAAGTGGTGTGGTGTAAAATGTGTGGTGTAGAGAAACTTCCTGACTCAGGGTTCTTTACAGTGGTGGTGATAGGAACCAGGGGTCACCATGTCTACAACACAAATATAGACATTTTATTTACTATGCAAAACCACCAGTGAAGCCACACGAGTCTTCTGAGATTTTAAATGTAATGCTGTGGGACACTGCAAAAAATCATATCTTGGCAAGTACAGTTATCTTAAATCTAGTCAATAAATCTAATATTCCTCCTGCTGAGGTTGTTGTAAGCTTATTTCAAGATTATTTAACTTATTTCCAAACATTTGTTTCTTGTTTTAAGTGATTTAATCTAGTTCATTTACCTCATTATAGTGGCAGATAATTGTGCTTGTTTTATGAAATGTACTTGAAACCCAGCAAAATCATCTGCCAGTATAGTGAGATACTTTTTCTTGATTAAATTACTTAAAACAGGTAAAATAAATGTAGAAATAAGCTAGATAATCTTGCATAAGTGCACAGCCATCTTAAAATGAGAAATATTAAATAGATCTACTAGAATTAAGATAATTTCACTTGACAAGATACTATTTTTTGCAGTGGAGGGAGCTTTAAGAGGCAGTTTGCATCTGGTCTTAAGAGGA